AAGTCATTCGGGTGTGACAAAAAGGTACACTTTTCCAATTTTAAAGACCATCCTGAAGAGGTTAAATTCCTTTCCTTTTCGGAAGGAGCTCCAAGCCAAGAGGATGAAAAGCTAACGAAAATACTCGGGGAAGGGAGGGGCTGTCAGTGCTGCTGCACATGCCCACCCTATTACGAAGCACCCAGGCGCGGTTGCAATACATTGTTCCATTTTCCACAGAGCTGAGGAGGGTCCTTGGAGCCAGATCTGCCACTTACTGATGGGGTGGGGGGTGGGAGAAATGCTGGCAAGGAATTTAACTTTCTGAGCTTCAAGTTCCTCAGCTGGAAAATGGAACACTTACCTCATAGGGTTCTGATGAACCTTAACTAAGATGACGGTGGTCAAGCACTTAGTCCAGTACCTGGGAAATGGCAAGCACTAAGAAACTGGTGGCTCTTTAGCCAATGTTCCATCCTGTGGATGGTCAGGGAGAAAGACAAGATGACTGACAAGGAAACCTCTTTGGATGGGAAGGGGGCCTGAGGTGAGAGCTGAGAAATTGGAAACAATGGGGCTGGATTTAATTAAAAATCTGACACTGATTAGCTGCATTACTTTCAAGTCATTTCCCTCCCCAACTGTTTCCCATTGATAAAACAATAGCAGTAGCATCGCCTCCATCATCATCATCACTATGATCACCTCCACGATCATCACCACCATCATCACCACCACCACCATCATCACCCTCAAAGGACTGAGGAAGTGAAGTCCCCTGGGCCCAGAGTTGAGGACAGAGGTGTGCTGAGGGTAGGGGATGGGCCGTGTAACCTGTGCTCTTTGGGGACAGGGATCTGCTCAAACAGTTATCTTGTGTGTTTGTCAGGAAGGAAGACACACAATGAAGCTGGATTTAAGGAAGGATTTCTGACATGAGACTGGAAGCTATGTTGCTGGCAACCCAGGGGTCTGAGTAAGCACTTGTATAAAACCTGACTTCACTGTTTCCACAGACCTAACCAAAGTGCCGGGGACCTTAGCTCACATTTCATTACAGGCTGGTTGCTGAGTCCAGGGCATGTTGACTTAAGCTGCCTGAAATCCTGTTCTCCATGCCAAACAGCAAGACACTCCTCTCAGGGAAGAGCTCCCTCCCTTCCTCGGAGGGCCGGACGGTGGGGGCCCATTCCTGCCAAGCCCACAGCCCACAGTCACTGCCGACGGTGCAAGAAGCACTCTGACGGTGTCTGCTGGGCTGCAGCCCCTGGCGGGAGGGCCCTGTACCAGCCCTGCTGTGCCAGGAGCAGATAACACAAATAACACGACTAAAGTGGCCACTTGCTGGTGTCTGAGTTGTGCCAGACACTGTGCTAACCACTTCGCCTGTACTTTCTCACTGAATTCTCACAGAAGCCCATGGTGGTTTTACCTAGGAGGAAACCGAGGGTCCGGAGTTGGAGCAACTTGCTGAGCCAGTCACATAGTGGGGAGCAGGTCTTCTGAAACAAAGCCTGGTGCCTAACTCCCTGAATGTGAGGAGTCCCTTGGCTGTGGTCCCTGAAACTCAATGATGAGTTTCACTTCCCTGGAGTAAGAGTGCCCTTGGGAGGGAGGTGGGGGTGGGGGGGAGACAGAAAGTGCTCACCCTGGGCAGGCAGTGTTCCACGAGCGGACATCCCTTATATAATTTAATGATCATATAGTCCTCTGAGGTGGGCACTGATATTAACTATTTTTCAGGTAAGGAAACTGAAGCCAAGAGAAGTCTAGTACCTGGCCAAGGTCACACAGGTAGCACGTGGCAGAACGAGAGTGAGCCCAGGCAGGTACTGCCTATACAGCAGGGGATCTGGAGAGACAGCCACCATCCAAGTGCTTTCACTGGCCTTTGGACTGGCTTCAGGAGGGGTGGTGACAGCTGAGGAGAAACAGAGGCCTGTGGGGAGGCAGCACAGAGTGCTGGGCAGCAGGCCAGCTGAGGCCGCAAGCTGGACTTGGGCTCCCAGCACAGCATGGCATGCTGTGCACCAGGACCAGCGTTGCTTAGGCACATTGCTGCAACTCCCAGAGCCTCAGTGTGATGCTGCCTCACGGGGCGGTGCTGCTATGTGGGGGAGGGGGGATATCTGTGTGTGTGTGCCGTGCGCGCATGTGAATGTGTGAAATATCTGTTAAAATTTTTTTTATAAAATATGTTTTTATTGATTTCTGAGAAGAAGAGAGAGGGAGAGAGAGATAGAAACATCAATGATGAGAAAGAATCACTGATCAGATGCCCTCCTACATGCCCCCTACTGGGGATCGAGCCCGCAACCCGAGCATGTGCCCTGACCAGGAATCGAACCATGACCTCCTGGTTAATAGGTCAACACTCAAGCACTGAGCCACACTGTCTGGGCTGAAAAATCTTTATATGCTGTGAGGCACTTTACAACACAAATTGGTATTACTCTTTCAAGGGGAGACTAATTCTGAAGCCATCTTTCAAATTTCTGGCCTTGTGGCAGTCATGACACCGTTTCAGTCAGTTATAGGTTAGTGATTTAAAAACTACAATCGATATTCCTGAAAGGCATATCTCATCTTGCCTCTATCAAATGTCTTCGTTAATATCCAGGGCTCTCAGCAATGGGTATTTCAATCATAGTCATAACAATAGCTAACATTTAATGAGCCCATATCATGGGCTAAGTAGCACACTAAGTGCTTTTTTAACATTATCTTAAATAATTCTTTAAATAATAATTCTCCAAAAAATAACTCTTCAAGGTAAGTACTATTATTATCTCCATTTAACAGCTTAGAGAGGTGAAGTGACTTGCCCAAAGTTATAACAAGTACGTAGCAGGGCCAGTGTTTCAGCCCAGGTCTGTTGGACTCAGGGACCCTTTGCAACACATGGCGCTCCTTTGCCTTCACACGTGAAGCCACACGTGTGCTTGGTACCAGTTGTGGGGAGTGGGGTGCACAGAATTGAGAAAGATGAGCTCTCACAGTTCTATCCAAAGCCCCTTCCATTGGTTCTGTTGTCTCCTTTTACAGGGCCAACTAAAGGATGCTTAGGATCTCACCCAAAATTATACCTGCCTCCAAGGGAGGCTGTGGAGGCTCATCAGGGATTAACAATGCACGGATAGTTAAATATGCATCACAAACTAGCTTGGTGAACAATACAACCCAGTGTAGCTTTCAGAGAACCATTTGAAATATTGCTATAAACAGAATTATTCCTAAGGCCCTGCACATCTGTCTTTGCAATCATGTCTTTACACAAGCCTTGCAAACGAGGATAAAAGTCCTATTTAGACTGTGTATGGAGCATCAATCCTCCCGTCAGCAGGAAAGGTAAGTCAAAGTATCCCAAAGGCACAAATGCTGCTTGGATCTCATTGTTGCCAAAGGTCTTACCTTCCTGACCACAACCAGGACTGTTAATACACAACATAATGAGCTGACTTGAGCTTCACTTAGTTTAAACAGTGTGATGTGGTGGGGAAAGTGATTCAGGGTAAACACACTTAGCTAGAGATGCTATCACTTTTTAGCTGTGTGTCACTGGGTAAGATTACTTAAAATTTTCTGGGCCTTATCCGTTGATTTCTCTTCATTTGTTTGTTTTCTGTCTCTGCTCCCCTCTTGTTAGCATGTAAGCTCACAAAGGTAGAAATGTTCTTACCTCTTTATCCCTTCTGATAAGAGTAGCTAGCACACAGTAGGTGCTCAATGAGTATGCAAAGAGTACAGTATTATGTAAATTGGTAAAGGGCGGGATGATGATTCCATTCTCACAGGTTGTGTGTGTGTGTGTGTGTGTGTGTGTGTGTGTGTATTTAAGTAGTGGACACTACTTAAGGATCACTAAAGGTGAACATTCTATCTATCTATATCTATCTATCTATCTATCTATCTATCTATCTATCTATCTATCTAAAAGCCTAAGCGACCGGCCTACTGGCCAGTAGTTATGACGTGTACTGACCACCAGGGGGCAGACCCTCAATGCAGGAGCAGAAACCACAGACATGGAAACATGGAACAGACTAATGAATCTCAGAGGGAAGAGGGGAGGGAGAAGGGCAGGGATCGGGCCAAAACCAGCTCTCTGATATCCCCCAAGGGGTCTTGGATTGCGAGAGGGCACAGGCCAGGCTGAGGGATCCCACCAGTGCACAAATCTGTGCATCGGGCCTCTATGATACCTATACTGTACTAGGCTAGGGGATCCACATCTGTTCTCAATTAATCCTTATCTTGAGAGGATCTATAAATCAACAAATGCTTACAAACAGAGGGTGCCAATATAATAATTCTTTGAACTGTGTATGTATAAATCCTATGTTGAACCAAATACCACAATTAAGAACACATTCCATCATGTGTTCATTTATTCCTTCGTTCATTCATTCATTCATGCATGCATGCATTCATTCATTACCATTTGCTAGGTACTGCTGTGGGCCAGGCCTATGCTAAGTCCTAAGGATGGAGAGGTGAATAAGACATGTTTATTAGCTTCATAGAACTTACAGTCTTGCAGAGGATCTGGCAGGTGGGGGTCAGGTCACAGAGAGCCTTAAAGACAACACTGAGCTTGGATTTCCCTCTGAGGAGTGAGTGAAACCAAAGCTCCATCCTGGCAGATCTCACCTAGGCACACTGTTCTCTTGGCCTGGCCTCTAGAGATGACCACCATAAAATGAAAGATGAGATTTCTCTGAAATATCTGTTATTATAATTAACTGGTTAGGGGCGATGTTTTGACTCTCAAGGCCACCACTATGAAAGGAATGATGTGAAGATACGGTTTTTCAGTCCTCTGCCCATCTAAGAGTAGAAGGTGAAGACTGAAGTTCAGGAAAAGGAGAAAAACATCAGAGACTTGGGCACGCACTGCTATGTGTCTGAGAGCAGGGTCAGGGGCAGATCAGGACGAAACGGTGAACACGGCACAGTGGACACATCTTCCCTCTGTCCACGCCCTGCCCTTCTCTCCCCCCCCACCCAACACACACATTTACCAATAGAACAGTCGTGTCCAGTCCAGCTTGGGTCACAGCTGCAAAGCCCGGTGTCTGGGAGGAAGGTTCCGTGGCCCGAACACTGGTCCAAGCACGTGGCCCGGGGTGACTCACAGTTGGTGCCTCCCCATCCCACAGAGCAGTGGCACTCGCCTCTCACGCAGACGCCCCGGCCAGAACATGTGGGGTCCATGCAGTCCACTGTGACACAAAGGAAAGAGAACACAGATAAGTATCTGACCAGCAAAGGTGAGAGGCTCCTCTAAGCAAAGTACCTCATAGTGAAGTAAAGGGGCTTCCCACACTCTTGTAGTGAGAAGGCTAAAAGGCTAATTCCAATGTAACCCTGATGTTTGGGGGGCTAGCAATCTGAATCTGTGCAGTAACTTAATGTACATTCTTGATAACCTATAATTAAGTTACTGCCCCTTTCCTCCGCAATCTGGTTTGGCAAGACCTGTTACCTAAATGCTCACATTTTACAGAGGCCATAAACCATGAATCCCCGTAGGGGGTTATCAGTGCTGGCGTCAGCCCAGGCCCTTAGATATGATCTCAAGACCCCCATCCCAACCCACCGGGCTTTTTGCAAAGCCCATGAAATGTCCAGAAGTCCCCATCCATATTTGGGGGACAAAGAAACCAAAAGGGGATAAAAGAAGGGCTTCCACCATATTGGTTTGCTCAGACTGTGGAGGTGACTCCTCTGAGACTGCTGGTGTAATAAAGCTGTGTAACTCCATTTCTCTAAGCGTCGCTTGGGTTTCTTGGGTCTTCTACAACAGTAGAAGGACACAGATTTCCTGTGCAGAGGCCACGTGGTATGGAGGAGAGCAGTACCTAGCAAATGGTAAACCTGGCTTTTCAACTCTACCTGCTGATTGACTGTTTACCTCTCTGAGTCTTGGTTCCCTTACCTGTAAAATGTGGATACAAATTCCTACCTTGTGGCCTCCTTACAAGAGGTCATGAGGAAGCCCTATGCTGCAGAGGAAAGATTTTAACATTTGACCTCTGAGGTCCTAAATTCAAGGGTCACAGGACAAAATATACTGGTTCAATGACCACGGTCAAGACATATACCTGCTCTGATCTTCCATCTATAAAGCAGGTATGATCAAATTACCTTTATCTCAGGTTGCTATGAGGACCAAAGACACTGAGGATTTGAAAGGACTATATAAACTATATAAATTGTAAGTTGTTGGAAATCGGTAGCTGTTTTTCAGTTCTATCAGGACATTCAGTAGCAAACTGTGGTCAGAGCTCATTTATAACTCAGACATGCTTTTACTTTAGTTATCAATTAAATTTTATAACCCAGTATATTTGACTTTTGCACAAAAGACTGGGAAACCCAGCGTGGGTATATTAGCGTCTCAGACACAAACGAGCAGACTTTACAGATGGCAACACTCTGGGAACAGGCTGTTTATTCTGAGGGCCAGCTTATTAAAAAAAGCTCTTTTACTATTTAGGTTTTTAAAGGAGTTCAGCTTCATGACTTAAATGATGACTAAGAAGACCAGAGGTCAGGAGCAGCCACTGCTAAAAACATAATAATGCTAACACAGCAGCAATGATAACAATTAAGTTTAATTTAGTTCCTCTCCTGTGCTATATTTTTCTTTTATACCTTTTATATATATTATTTCATTTAACCCTAACAACAACTCTTTGAGATAAATACCATTATTAGCCTCATTTTACAGATGAGGATACTGAAGCACAGAGAGGTTAAAATAAGTTGCCCAAGATCACACAGTGGTAACTCAAATTTGAATCACTCCTGGCTGGTATAGATGACTTGTTGTTTCCTTTATCATCTGACTGGTTCAAAAATACATTCATCACATACACAGATTTAAACACAGAAAATGGTTAAAACATAGGAAAACAAAACAAGGAAAGAAATAGGGCAACGTGGAGAAATAATAAAGCCAAATGAAGGCAAAGAATCTCCTCTCTGGCAGTCTCAGGACACCATTTAATAACGGTTCGGGCATGACCTGCTGGAGTGCCTGGTAATTAAAAGGAATAAAAATAATAATAGTGATACATTTTCATGACTGGCCCCAGGATCTCAGGATCTCAGAAGGATTATTCCAGCCCATTAGGCTACTATGATAATTCCCTAGATCCAGAGAGTTTTCCAATCTGTCAGGAAATGAGTCAGCGATTCCTGTCCCAGGACCTATAAAGGTATTTCCGGCTCCCTGAACACCTGACCCCAGCTTTGGGCTCGAGCTGTCTCTGAGGGGCCCTCGAGGTTGGATCTATAAATCTGCACTGTGAGCCAGCAAGCGGGGAGGGCGCCAAGTTTAGCGAGAGGCCCTTGGCGGCACAGTCCTGCTCTGGCTCAGACACAGTACGTCTGTGAGGGACCCAGGAACCAGCAGAGCGAATTCCAAGCTCTCCGAAGATGGTTCAGGCCGGGAAAGATCAGACGGGACTGTGAGAGGCTACCTCCAGGCCATTCATCATCAATTAATCCTGGCTTCTGAAGGTCAACTTGGTAGAGTGAGTGTGGAACTCCAGGGAAGTTCTGAAGAGGGAAGGCGGCTCCAGGAAACCTGAGCTGAACTGGCTGAGATTCCTGCCTGGAGAACACTGCTCATCCGAAACTCGGGCCATTATCTGAGCCATCGTGATGCTCTGCCATGGAGATCCTACCTAGACTGTGGGCCTGCCCTCCCTTTCTGGGGCCATTGGGGTGACAGAGACCCTAGGATGGGATTCAGGTGACCTCTTCCCATCACACTGGGGTGGTTTCCCGAATATTTATTTTGCAGGAAACTGTGTGACATGGGAAGATGGGCTGCTGGAGGGCCCGGGAGAACTTGGCAGGGAGGCGGCTGAACTTCGTGTAGACAGTCTCACTTAGTTTCTCCTTAGAAGAGGTGCCAAACAGTTATAGTTTTCCTCTGCAGAGCTTGCCATTTAAGCCAAAATTTCTGGAAGAAGCTCAGCCCGTTGATGAAATGATGCGACCTGTGAGGCCAGGCTGTAAGCACAACTGTTGCCCCAAATGTTCCACGCTTCAGTGACCACACAAGCTATTAGACACTCTTCAGGACCCAAAATACGGTCTCACTTTTCACTGCAAAAGGCCCAAGTTATTCTCTTCTGCCCCTCCTCCAACCCCTCCAAGCGCCCTGTTGGCGTGGTCCAGGCTTTAAAAAAATATAGGCCAATAAACTTCAGAAGAAGGAAGCCAGAGAGGGGGGAAAAGTAAGCTTGTTAGCTGATGTTTTATAAACACAGTGAAACCCCTTAGAACAGAGTTGAGGGAGGAGGGGAGGCAGGAGGGGGGAGGGCAAAGGCCCCCAGAAACCCCATTATAAACACAGGACTATTCAATGATGTTTCACCAGAGAAATAGAAATAATAAAAGGAATCAGTCCCAGATGGCCCTCCTCAGTAAAGAAAGCAGGAGTAAAAACATTTCTTTTCAAATAGATAATGTAAATCAAAGAGCTACACAGCTCCTTTTCTTCTCTTTGTAAGTACCCTTGTGCTGGGGCACTGTCCAGGGGGCGGTGGAGCTCGACCATCCCCCTCCTCGGCCCACACAACGTGGCGGGGCGGGGGTGGACAGCCCCACAGCTCCAAGAGGAATCTCTTCTTTGTTTCTCTTTCCTTCTCTGGGTCTTCACCTCAAGTGACTAAACTGAAAAGGAACAGCAGCTGAAGGTCACCATTGTCAGGAAGAGAAAGCCAAGTTCCTTTGTGCGAGGGGCTGGCGTGCCTCCTCTCTCAGACAGCCCACAGCAATCTGGTCAACGTGAACAGGCTGGAATCAGGACCTGCAGTCACACTTGTGGTCCGCAGACAGCCTGTCTCAGAGAGGCGATGCTTTTCAGACACTAATTCCTTCCTGTTCCCCACTCTTTAAAAATGGGCCCATTATAGTCTCCCTCTCCCTCTCTCCCCCTCTCTCTCTCTTTTTTTTTTAGAGAGAAAATGATGCCTTAAGAGGGGAATACCTGTTAAATCCCAAATTTAGCTCTCCTTAGAGCTCCTTCCACCCCATGGAGAAGGTGCTGGGGCCCTAGATAGTGGACAGTGGGAGGTAACGACTATTAGCGTCATCCATCAGTTTCCAAGGCAAAGTCCATCCATTTCAAAAGACCTTGGATGAAATGAGTGGAGGAGAACAGGAACTGTGCTTCAGTTGTCCCCAGAATAAACTAATAATATAAGAGCTAACATTTATAGAGCATTTACTACGTGTCAGACACTGAGCTTTACATGGATCATTTAATTCACTCCTCCCAACAGCCCTCTGAGGAAGGCATTCCCATTTTATAGACGAGGGAGCCGAGGCTAGTTAATGGCAGAGCCGGGACTCAAGCCTACATCTGATTCCCGAGTACGGGCTCTTAAAGCTACTCTAGACTGCTTATGAGGAGAACTCCTCCTTTTGTCTGGAATTTCCATGCAGCCGAGAGGAAAGAGCACTGACCGGAATTGCAGAGGCCTGGGTTGATTCCCGACCCAGCCATCGGTTAGTTAGCTATATGAACATGGTGATGCCAATGCTCTTCCCTGGGCCTCCTTTCTTCATTTGTGAAATACATATATGTACTTACCTCACCTTGTTAGATTTCCTGGGAAAGAACTGATGCCATGGTTACATCAGCAGTTCACTTTCTAGCCTTGATTCATACAGGCATATAAGGGTGTCCCATACACATGTATATAAACTTTGATTATAAAGTCAGTGTTTATTAACATACCATTCATCTTAAAAATTAAGTGAGTTATCAGCTGTTAAAGTGTGTACACAGATGGAGAAACCAAGATGGTGGCATAGGTAAACACCTGAAATTGCTGCCTCACACAACCACTTCAAAAATACAACTAAAAGACAAAACGGACATCATCCAGAACCACAGGAAGGCTGGCTGAGTGGAAATTCTACAACTAGAAGGAAAGAGAAAAGCACACTGAGACTCAGAGGAGGTGCAGAAGTAAAGTGCAGAGGTACAGAGGCCCACGCGGAAAGGGCTGGCAACTGAGGATGCGGTTGTCTTTTTTAATCGGGAGGGAGTCACAAGCCCCCGACTGCTCTGAACTCTAGTTCTGGGCGAGTCTCTGGGGACCCAGACTCATATGGGGAGAAACTGGACTGTCTGGCATCGGGCGGAACTCGAAGGCGGCTTTCTCTCAGAGGTGCTTGCAGCGATTACCATGGGACACTGAGACCCAGGGCCTCTTAGGGCAGGGCTGAGGATCAGCCATAGCTGTTTGCTCCACCCTGTTGATTCCCTGAGACCCCGCCCCACCCAAGCTGTGCGCAGAGGCTTTTACATATGAATGGCCTGGCCCTTTGCAATTTAAAACTACCCAACAAACTGCAGTTGGGTCAGAGAGACCCAGAACATCCAAAAGAAGGCCCAAGGCCCCACAGCAGCTTGCATTGCTTCACAGCTGGGCCTCATCTGGGCACATCCAAACCCCAAACAAAGAAGAGGAATCTGCAGATCTTTCCGTAGCTCCTGCTGGGTAGCCTCAGGTAGAGGCTAAATTAGCACCTCCTTAGAGATCCCAGAGCCAGTGTAACCAGTGGTCAGAGTGGGACCATCCAGATTACAATTCCTCAGATCCATAAGGGACACACTCAGGAGGCAGACTCAGTGAGCACCAAAGCCCCACTGAAGCAAGTCTTGCCCCATAAGGGTGTCTCCAGCAGAGAAGTTCTCCCACCATAGACACAGCTGATTCTCACAGCCAATTGGCCTGGTGGTCAATTCCTCCCAGTGATACCTACAACAATCAAGGCTTAACTACAACAAGACTGTGCACAAAGCCCACAAAGGGGTGCATCAAGAGTGTCCACCTCAGGTAATTGGGGAGGCTGAGCCACTGGGCCCTATAGTACACCTAGTACAGAAAGCCACTCTATCAACACAGGGAAGCAGTCAAAATGTGGAGACAAAGAAACAGGTCACAAATGACAGAAATGGAGGAAAGCAAACTACTGGATATAGAGTTCAAAACCACGGTTATAAGGTTTTTCAAGAATTTTCTAGAAACCGCTGATAAATTTAGTGAGACCCTCAATAAATCTAGTGAGACCCTCGAGGATATGAAAAAGGACCAACTAGAAATTAAGCATACACTGACTGAAATAAAGAATATTATATATTGCCGAAGCCGGTTTGGCTCAGTGGATAGAGCGTCGGCCTGCAGACTGAAAGGTCCCAGGTTCGATTCCGGTCAAGGGCATGTACCTGGGTTGCGGGAACATCCCCAGTGGGGGATGTGCAGGAGGCAGCTGATCGATGTTTCTCTCTCATCGATGTTTCTAACTATCTCTCTCTCTCCCTTGAAAAAGGACCAACTAGAAATTAAGCATACACTGACTGAAATAAAGAATATTATATAGAGATCCAACAGCAGACTAGAGGATTGCAAGAATCAAGTCAAAGATTTGAAATACGAAGAAGCAAAAAACACCAACCGGAAAAACAAAAAGAAAAAAGAATCCAAAAATATGAAGATAGTCTAAGGAGCCTCCGGGACAACTTTAAGCATAAACATCCAAATTATGGGGGTGCCAGAAGAAGAGAGAGAGCAGGATATTGAAAACATATTTGAAGAAATAATGACAGAAAACTTCCCCTACCTGGTGAAAGAAATAGACTTACAAGTCCAGGAAGCGAAGAGAACCCCAAACAAAAGGAATCCAAAGAGGACCACACCAAGACACATCATAATTAAAGTGCCAAGAGCAAAAGACAAAGAGAGAATCTTAAAAGCAGCAAGAGAAAAACAGTTAGTTACTTACAAGGGAGTACCCATATGATTGTCAGCTGATTTCTCAACAGAAACTATGCAGGCCAGAAGGGAGTGGCAAGAAATATTCAAAGTGATGAATAGCAAGAACCTACAACCAAGATTACTTTACCCAGCAAAGCTATCATTCAGAATTGAAGGTCAGATAAAGAGCTTCACAGATAAGAAAAAGCTAAAGGAGTTCATCACCACCAAACCAGTATTATATTAAATGCTGAAAGGTATCCTTTAAGAAAATGAAGAAGAAGAAAAAGGTAAAGATAAAAATTATTAACAACAAATACATCTCTATCAACAAGTGAATCTAAAAATCAAGTGAGTAAATAATCTGATGAACAGAATAAACTGGTGAATATAATAGAATCAGGGGCATAGAAAGGGAGTGGACTGACAATTCTCGGGGGAAAGGGGTGTGGGGAGTGCAGGAAGAGACTGGAAAAAAATTGTACACCTATGGATGAGGACAGTGGGGGGTAAGGGCAGAGGGTGGGGTGGGAACTGGGTGGAGGGAGCTATGGGGGGGAAAAGAGGAACAACTGTAATAATCTGAACAATAAAGATTTAATTAAAAAAATAAAGTGTGTACACATTTTGGGGGGACACCCTGCATTTACTTTATGAAGAAGAGAGACATGCCTTTGAGCACCTGAGAGCTACATGTACGAACACAGACACACACACACACACACACACACACACACACGAGTGTGATAATGGAAGGCAGAGTTTGGAGGTCTAAATACACTCATACTTCAGAAATGGGGAGTGAATGAGCTAAAAGGGGAGTGGAAAGAACTTGGGCTATGGAGACAGAGAGATTGGGCTCAAACCCAGCCCTGCCATTGGCTAGCTGTGTGACCTCGGGCAAGCCATTTGACTCTCAGAGTCTCCATGTTCTCTACTATAAAATAAAGATGATTTCCCCTCCCTACTAGGGTTTGCAGTTAAATAATGCAAGGCATCCAGCACAGAGCCTTGGGTACAGTAAGTACTGGTGCAACACTTCTGTGCCCTTCACTGAGTAGGATTGCATTTGTCTGTCCTCTTCTTTAGGTTCATTACTATTGCTGATGGGCTCCTGGCTCAGGGTGGGGGTCACAGGGTGGCTCAGGTGGCTTCCTCTGCTGCCCGGATGTCCTCTTGGCCCTGTGCGCTGCCCTCTAAGTTGAGGAAGGTGCTGGGCTGCCTGCACGTGTCTTACCTTCCTCGCAGTTCTCGCCCTTGTAGCCGGGGTTGCAGATGCAGGTGCCCATGATGCAGGTGCCATGGTTGCTGCAGGCCACATCGATACACTGGTTGGTGGGCACGTCGCACTCGGCGCCCTTCCAGCCGCTGTGGCACAGACACCGGCCCTTCATGTACTGGCCATTCCCACTACAGAGCACGGGGCAGGAGGCTGGGGAGACAGCACGGGAAGCCTGGTATGAACCAAAGCCCAGCATCCCCCACCAGCCTTTGTCCCTTTTTCCCCTCCACCTGCTGGCTTGACCAAGAGCCTCCAGTGCTTTGCCACAATTCTCATGTGTGCCCATCTGTCTGCTTCTCTGGTTTTATTTAATTCCTGATTAAACACATCTGGAGCTGTAGGTGAAGGTGTGCAGTGCGCGGCCTGGTGGAGCTGGTGCCCAGTGAACTCTGCTCCCTCCCAACCCCCAATATTACTGGGGCAGCGTGGTGGTTGCCAGGACCCCAGTGAGTTCCTGGGGCTCCCTGGGAAAGACAGCTGGGCCTCCTGCCTGCCCGTATCCCTCCTCCAACACTCTCCTAATAGCGCTCCGTTTTGCTTCCCCACCCTCATCTGCAGCACACTTACTGTTGTCTTTAACCCAGCTTTCTCTCCGTTTTCCTTGCTTTTCAGGCCTCCACTCAAACCCATAAACCATGGCCCCATAAGAGAGTAGCTGAGCCCAACTTAGCTCTTGAAAGTATTATCTTTGCATTCTGCCTCTTAGCGTTTTGTGAACATCTGTACAAAGAACACTATATAAAAATAAATTATATTTCAGTGTGCTGTAAGTACCCACCAGCCTTAGTGAGCTTCACTAAGAGGCTGTTTTATACAGGGCTCTTCACTCTAAGTGCATACGGGATGAGACGGTAATTCTCGTTAGAAGGGATGACTCATCCCTTCTCTCTCGCACCGCTGTCCCCGCCCCCACCTGGCAGCTTTTCTTTAGAAAGCACTTGGCAGGGAATCACTGTGCTTCCTGGGGGCTGCAGGCTTTGCTGCCTCAAACTGAGTCTATTTCACCTTAGAAAGAATAAGCAGAATCCCCAAAGCAGTGCCACCTCACCGTGTTTTCGGCCTGGGGAGCCATCTCTGGCTTCCACCAATGAGCAATGACTCAGGCATCAGGTCTCAGTTCCAGGAGCACCTCACCTGGAGCCCTTCCTGGTCCTCACCATCCAAGCTGAGACAGCTGCTCCCTTTCCCTCCGATAGGCACTCCCTGCACGTGACCTCCCTACCGTGTTTCTCACCTATTAGCCACTTTGTAATCGTCGATTTTGTCTGTCTCCCAGGCAGAGAACTCCTGGGCTTGCTCAGTGTCTAGCACAGGACCAAGCCCGAAAGGACACAAAGCAGATGACTGATGAGGGAGAAAAACCAAAGGGAGTTTCCCCAAAGGGCATGCCAAAATCTCAGGAGGACAGATCTCCTTTGGTGTTTTCCTTGTTGATTCTTGCAGGACAATAATGAAGGCCAAAGGCAAACAGTAGATCATGGCAGCCTTGAAACTATCGCCAAGGGGTTATCATTAGACCCTATGTGCCCAAATCTGAAACAACACTGGGGTCCTGTGTGGAGGAGAGCAGTCTCACCCACCTCCCAAGTTGTTGGTGGTCTCAGCCATGATGCTGCCTGTGCTGTTAGAAGGCATTGACTGAGCAAGAAACCAGGCCTCCCTTCTCTGGGCCAGGGGAAAACACGCTAGCTGAAGGTGAACGTGGAAGACGCTTGGCAAAGGCTGATCACTCCTCTATGGGGAAATCCGCTTTTCAAGGACCCCCATGCCACTCCTTCTGCCCCCACAAGGGGACATGAGGTTAACTGTGGCTGTCCCTTCCTTCCTGACCTCCTGTCATGCACCTGTGGGTCAAGTGGCCTGAAGACCTCCCTCACAGGGTTTCTGAAGGATGGCCCTTGGGAGCCCTTCTCGCAAGAGTCATGAGTGGCCTGGAGCCCTACCTGGTTTGGCTCAGTGGGTAGAGTGTTGGCCTGCGGACTGAAGGATCTCCGGTTGGATTCCGGTCAAAGGCACATACTTGGGTTGCAGGTTCTACCCCTAGTGGGGGGTGTGCAGGAGGCAGCTAATCAATAATTCTTTCATCATGGATGTTTCTATCTCTCTCTCTCCTCCTTTCCTCTCTTAAATCAATAAATATATATATATATTTTTAAAAAAAGAGTGGCCTGGAGTTCTGCACTGGCTCTGAGGAGTGGGACCTGAGCTCCCACGGGGCATGGGGAGTGGAAATCGCAGGTCCACACCGGGCTCTCACCTCTGCCGCAGTCGGGGCCCAGGAAGCCCAGGAAACAGTGGCAGGTCCCAGAGATGCAGTCCCCATTGCCGTAGCAGTTGCTGGGGCAGTTATCCACCGATTCTGGGGGAGAAAAGAGAAGGAGAGCTGAAAACAGAAACTTCTTCCCCAAACAGAAGGCCCAGGAATCAAGCCTCAGGTTAACACATTCGAGCTCTTCTTGCCCAGTCACTGAAAGCAACCAATGAAGTTAAGAATTATATGTTACTAGAGGCCCAATGCCGAAATTCGTGCAAGAGTAGGCCTTCCTTCCTCCGGCTGTCGGCACCGGCTTCCCTCCGGCACCTGGGACCCGGGCTTCCCTTCAGCCACTGGCTTTGTCTAGAAGGTCGTCTGGAAGGATGTCTGGTCTAATTAGCATATTACACTTTTATTTTTATAGATATAGCCTTGGCCAGTGTACTCAGTGGTTAGAGTGTCAGCCAAAGCACCAATGGGTCTCAGGCTTAATTCCTGGTCAAGTGCACATACCTGGATTGCAGGTTAAATCGGGTCCCGGTCAGGGTGTGTGTGGAAAGCAACCAATCGATGTGTCTCTCTCTCTCTCTCACTGATGTTTCTGTCCCACCCCTCCTTTCCACCCTCTCTAAAAATCAATGGAAAAGTATCTTTGGGTGAGGATTAACAAACAAACAAACAACCTTACATTATTTTTACTCTTACTGAGATATATCTCAACTGACATTAAGAGATGTGTGCTGGAAAATGTCTGCCTGAACGATTTTTTTTATAAATCAAATTTGTATCTACAAATACATTAGAAACTTTTTGCAAAAAACATTAGTGAAAAAAATAGTTCAACCTGTTAGCAGGGCTATCTTTGGATGCTCGGTTATTGGGTGATTCTTGTGGTCTTTACACTTTGCTGTGTTTTATTTTTTTCACAATGAGCTGATATTCCAGGAATCTGGGTTTTAAAGCTACTGAGCATTTGTAAACCTATCTTTTCCCACCTCTGATTTTTTCAAGCCTTAGTCTGGTTCCCTCCACACCAGCTAACCAACAGCTGCATGGCCAGTCTCTCAGCTTCCTCTTTTGCTCCCTCCCCTCCCGTCCCCTCCCCTTCCCTCCTCCCCCTTCCCTGATTCATTCACCACCCAGCAGCCTGAGTAATGATGTCTCTGAAACATTCTCCTACTTAAAACCATTCAATGGGGGAGAAATGAAAATATCCAAGCTCCTTTAAAAGGCATAGGTCTGGAAACAACCCAAGTGTGCATAAGAAAGCTGTGGTACATTCCCACCATGGAATACTATGCAGCTGTAAAAAAGAAGGATCTCTTACCCTTTGAGATAACACAGAAGGACCTGGAGAGTATTACGCTAAGCAACATAAGCCAATCAGAGAAAGACAAGTATCACGTGACCTCACTCATATGTGGAATCTAATGAACAAAATAAACTGACCAACAAAATAAGGCCCAGAGGCATGGAAACATGGAAAAGACTGACAAATCCCAGAGGGAAGGTGGGGAAGGGCGGTGGGATGGGAAGAGATTAACCAAAGTTAACCAAAGAACTTATATGTATATATGCTCTGCCCATGGACACAGACAACAGTGTGGTGATGGCTGGGGGATAGGGGTGGGGCGGAGAGGAGGAAATGTGGAGAAAATAGGGGACATCCATAATAATGTCAACAATAAAAAATACACTTAAAAAAAGGCATAGGAGTTTCCTTTCATATTCCCTTTGCCCCCTGCATTCCTTATGTTGTTGGCCAGTTTATTTTGTTCATTAGACTCCACATATAAGTGAGATCATGTGATAGTTGTCTCTCTCTGACTGGCCTATTTTGCTTACCATCTGCTATGATGCCCCTCTTGAAAGATGTTCCTTCTCTAATTCTCCCTCATACTTTGGGACTGTCTGAGTGACATGTCAGGAAATATCAAATTCATTTCAGAAAGTTTTAGTAAAAAAGTAGTCAATGTTGTGTAGCTCCAGTTAGTACAGCTATTAGCTAGAAAATCTATGCATGCGGAACTGTCCTCTTCCCAAATGCTGGGTATGGAACAAAGGAGAGAAATCACTATATGTGACTATCTTCTTTGTGCCATGTATTTCCACAAAGTTTGTCTCATTTCACTGTCACCAAAACCAAAAGGATGTATCATTATTCCCTTTTTTTTTAAAATTTAAGGTGGCTGGGAGATGAAGTGACTTGCTGAAGGCCACACAGATACAATGGCATGGAGGCAAGATTCAAACCCAGGCCTTAGGACGCCAAGCCTGGTCTTCTTCAATACTATTATGCTCTCTGGGCCTTAAAGAAATTCACTCCATAGCAAGTCAGGAGAATGAGCGGGGTGGCAGATCTGGGGGACAGAGAGGCCAATCCTGAAGACACCAAAGGACTCAGCTGAAAGGTACAGAATTCTAGAACTTTTAGAACTTAAAGGGATCCAAGAGATCATCTAGCCCAGCAGTTCTCAACCTGTGGGTCGAGACCCCTTTGGCGGTCAAACGACCCTTTCACAGGGGTCGCCTAAGACCATCCTGCATATCAGATATTTACATTACGATTCATAACAGTAGCAACATTACAGTTATGAAGTAGCAATAAAATAATTTTATGGTTGGGTCACAACATGAGGAACTGTATTTAAAGGGCCAGAAGGTTGAGAACCACTGATCTAGCCCAAAGCTTTCATTTAATAGAGAAGGAAACGGAGCCGAGGAAGGGCAGTGACTCACCAAGGCCTCAGAGTGAGTCTGCACTCAGAGTTGAAAGTAGAGGAAAGGTGGGCAGAGTTAAGGATTCAACCACGTCTCAGCTCACAACTAAGTCTTGAAGCCAAGGCGAAGGCCTCTGGTAGATGAGATGCTACCACAGAAGAAGAGTCTTGCCCACTGGACATTTGCAGCCTCAGTGGAGGCATGAGATGACACTGGACGTGAAGCGGCTCCGCATGGAGGTGAGGAAACCTGGCCTGGGGTCCATTCTTCTGGCACCATGCTGGGTGACCTAAAGCAACTTCCAGCCCATCTCACCTTCCTCACATGTGAAATCAAGGTGAGGGCAGAGGTGACCCCTAGGACTACTTCCTGTTCTAAAATTCTGTGCGTCTGAAATTGAGAGCAACTGTGCAGACAAGGCATTCATACAAGGGCATCGAGCCTTAACTGCAGCAAAGCACTATGGCCCATGGACATAGACGATTATAGGGCCAACTTATGGGGACAGCTTATCTGGGGCAAAACCAGCAGAGGGGAATTCTGGCTTCTCAGAGGAGGTGGGCATGAAGAATGGTGTGGATATGGATAGAGAAGGGATAAGACAGGGAGATGGGGAGAAACTCATCGCATGGTGCACTTCCCAGAAATGTCTTTCCCAATTGTTGGCCACTATCAACTTGGAAGCTACTTTAAAAGTTTGGAAATAGGGTTCAGATGTGTGGTTCCTTTCATGAGTGGGCGGGAAATTCCAGTTGCTCCATGTTGTTCCTCTGCTAACACGAGCAGTTTTACACTAACAGGTAAGAACAAGAGGGTCTAACCCAGCATAAGTTCTCGTTTCAGGGCAAAGTGGTTGGGTCCCTGCAGAGCCACGGCCCCAGGTAATTCTGCTCTCATTTGCTTTGCCTGGAAAAATCCATCTTCCTAATACCTTCACTTTATAAGTGGCTTCCTAAACACTTGAGAGAGAGAGAGAGAGAGAGAGAGAGAGAGAGAGAATGGCTTAGAAAGTTTCATTTTGAATATTCTTTTGAAAATAAGGATTCTGAGTAAAGTTTAAGGCAAGATTATTTTCACTTTTAGCTACTGGAGGGTGGGCTCCACCTGCGGTATCACAGGAGTACAGTGCAGAGGCGGGAGGCCTGGCCTCGGGTCTTGTTCTGCTTCTAAATGGCTGTGGGGCCTTGACCATGTCACTTCATCTTTCTGCACCTGTTTCCTCATCCCTGCCTCCTTGGCAACTCCTATTCCTTCTTTCAAATGCAGCTCCAATGTCACCTCCTCTGACAAGCCTTTCTGATTTCTTTTTTTTATTTTTAATATATTGATTTCAGGGAGGAAGGGAGAGGGAGAGAGAGATAGAAACATCAATGATGAGAGAGAATCATTAACCAGCTGCCTCCAGCACGCCCTCTACTGAGGATCAAGCCTGCAACCTGGGCATGTGCCCTTGACCAAATTGAATCCAAGACCCTTTAGTCCGAGTGCCAATGCTCTATCCACTGAGCCAAACCAGCTAGGGCCTTCCTGATTTCTTAAACAGGCTAGGTTACTCCAGGTCTCTCTCTTCCCTTCCCTCCTACTAAAACCCCAAACAGTCCCCAGCATTGACTGTGAACTCTGAGGGCAGTCACCGAGTTTATTCATTTCTGTATTTGCCCTTGTATTCATCTCACAGAGAAGGTCTCAATAAATGTTTGTTGCTATCACTGAGAGAATTCAACTGGATGATCTCAGAGGTCTCTCCCAGATCTAAAGTCCAATGGTTCAGTCCTTCTCAAAACCTTGGTATAAACGTCTAATAAATTACTATAATTACCAGTTGCATTTATAACAGGATCAACTGCAGATCAACGTTACACACACACACTTTCTAGATTTTGAATCATCTGCCACAAAGCTTTCGTGGTGAAAAAGTGAGGAAAGTATGTTTTCTGTGACTGAGTCTGGTGTCGGTTGCTAAATCTGACAGCACAGAATGCTGTTTGCTACAAAACTTGCCCCAGGCTGTTGGTTTCAGAGAAGGCAGAAGTTTTAGGAAACATGGAATAATTTTACGATAGTAACAAGGAAGTGGGAGGGAGACGTTTGGAGAATATTGCTGTTTGATGAAATGTTTCTGTATATAGTTTTTCTTCCGTTTGGAAAGATTTCAACTACTTGGGGTCCACCTGGGATCCCACAGATGATGAGTCCCCTCTGACGAGATAGCTCTACGCTAAATGCTAGTGCAGGAGTGACACTCACTGGCTTGGGAGGAGTGTGAACTTTATTGACTAAACATGCTGTTATGTTTCCAATTAGTGTTTGGTGAATGTCTTCCGTCTGCAGTTCCTTCCTGCTTTGCTCATGTCCAAGCTGCAGCTGCCTTCATTCTGCAGAAG